TCGATCCGCCGCTTCTCCTTCCTTTTTCGTTCGTCTTGGCGTGGCTGCCGTGGCGTCCATGCCGAGAAAGGAAAAGCCAGCATCGACACGCTGCGCACGGTGGAAAACACGGGGCCGCCGCGAAGACGCGTGCACTGGTCGTGTGTGTCGTTGCCGCGCGTAGTTTTACGTGTACTGCGTATACGTCTGATCGTGCTCGTGAACAGAGGTGCCCCCTCTTCTCGTCCCAAACGGCGAACGCGCGGTGGTCAACACGGTGCGTGTGCTTGTCTCCTTCCTTTTTCTCGCACTCTTAGCCTCTTTTTTTTTACTTTACATCCTTTCTCGCTTCTTTTCGTCTTTTGCCTTTCGCCTAGCGCACGTTGTTGTTGTCTTTCTTTTCGACGATTCTCTCAGTCTCTGTTCTTTTTTTCCCTTCTCCCTCTTACTCTGTTTTTTTCTTCACTTTGTTTTGCTTTTTTTCTACCATCGATCGATATTGTCTTTAATCGTTCACTGTGCCATGTGATTCCACTGAACCACACTTCACACAACCATAGCAAACGACAACGTGCGTGATAGAATTTCCTGCGAGGGGATACACGAGTTTTCATCGTGTACGCAAAAGGTATAGGTATACTCATTCTCGGAACGCAAGAGAGACCCAGCATGGCCGCCCAGCACAAGACGAGTCAGAGTCAGAGTTCCTTACCGGTGTCCACACTATAACGGCAGCACGCTCTCTGTCTCCTTTCCTCTCTTCCTCCCTTTTGCTCTCTCTGTTTCTACCCGCCTTCTCCCGCCGTGTTTCAAAGCGTACACACTTGCGCTTCATCCTCTTTCCTCTTATACGTGCACATACAGACACGTCGCAATCTGTCTTCGTTTTTGCACAACGTTGTTGCTCTCGTTGCGTCGCTTTCTCGCTTTCTCGCTTTCTACTCCACGCTTTTCCCTCGCAGTTCGTTCCTACGTCTGTCCACGTCTCTTCGTTTCGCGCATACCCTCCACTCAAGTCGTGTTTTTCTCACTCTTCCTTGCGGGCTGGCCGGTTTCTCTTTCGCTCCCTTTCTCTCCCGGTTTCTGCATCTCTCTTTCGTTCTTGTCCCCTGATCGCGCCTTTCATTCGAAAATAGAACGTCACCGCGCGTGCCGCGCACATTTTTCCTCATGAAAACAGCGAATTCCCACTCGCTGACACGCGCGCGCGAGACACAAGCGAGCGCTCGTGTCGTGTTCTAACCTCACTTTCTGCGAAAAATTCTGCGGATTGATCGATATCCAACCCATTAACACGTGCATATAAACTAGTTAAAACTTCTGTCCAGTGTTTCGCAACACGTAGTTCACTTAAAGTCCTATAGAAATAAAAAAATTCCATTAACTTTTTAATCATACCATTTAATTTCATGCACACATGGCATGCAGTTTTTTTTTTCATTTGATCGATCGTAATTAATCAGATGATTTAATAGAGATGCTATTTATTGCTCCCAACGAAAAATTATTCCACGTACTTAGGTGGCGTGTTTAATTGCTGTTGCGAGCTGATACACGAAACATGTGGTGCATCGATGGTCGATTTTTAGTCAAGTTTGGCAAGTGTCAGACGCATAAGAGCCGACGTAATATTTTTATTGCGGCCAATAGACTCTAATAGGAAGGTTACTGGCTTTTCATTTATCGTCTGTTGGCTTTGTTACGGTGTCAGACGGAGGCAGACGTCCGACGATATTCTGGCGGGAGAGACTCGTAAAAATAGTGTCTTCACCATTTCCTCCCTTCGGCTCCCGCGACTATAATTAGCACTATTCGCCGTTTTCTGCGTAAACAAACATTCGCTGCTTTGTGTTGTGGCAGCCTCTTTTATCGTCGCTTGTGTGATTTCCTGTTCGATAAAGTACGTCGAACAAACACCAGGGAAAAACACACGGCTATCTACGGCAGTCACACCGGTGTGTCGTTGGCAAATGTCGACGGTCTATCGATGCTACACGAGTTTTGCATTAGGAAAGTGTGGACAGTAGAAACAAGACCACTCTGTTCTCGAACCACCGCGTCCCTTTTCCTCCTTCGTGATTCTACGTTGGCGTATTTCTAGGAGACGTTTGCCTGTAGCAGAGAGGTGGACTGAACTATTCATGTCCGACGACCGTTCATAAAAATAGGATTTTAGTGATTTCTCCCTACGATGCTGCGCTTAATGGTGCCTAGCATGCCTGGGTAAATATGTACATTTTCCGGACGTTCTTCCCTCGATTCTCTCTTTTCATCGATATTTAGTAATATTCACGCGTTTTACCGCTAATGCATCGAAATTGGATATTTTGGATTTTTCCAAGGCATCGTACAATGACCAGTCACGCGATACATAGTCATTATAGATATATAGTAGATATGTAATTTAATATGTACGAAGACCAGACACTTTTTCTTTTACAAAAGAGCAATTTTGAAATTCAATATGTTGTCAACCAATGTCAGGCCGAAACTATCCTCGTGTTTGATTTTCGGATTAAATACATATTTGCTTTCTGTCAGCCTTGAACATATAAAGGAAAATATTAATGGCATCACTCACGCAGACGAATATTAATTAAGTTAAGAAGTAGAGTTCTAAATCCCATGCGACTTCGCAAATCAGGGCACGGTTGAACTAGTGTCATAAATGAAATTGTACAAGTTACGAATTACAGCTTATCAAACACTCTAATAGATTCTCTCGCGTAACAGCGCCAAGTTCGATACGAATGAAACCGATGAAGGGCTTCGGATAGATTTTACAAATTATGTACATGTCAGCTAATTATCATATTTTGTGTAAAATTGTAAAATTACAAAATAAACGTTTCTAACCTATAACTGGTAACTTGTCTCTTAATTCATTATTATTAGTAGATTATTTTATAAGTTATTGTGTATCAGCTGGATCGCATAACTTTCCGCACCAGCTCGTTGTATGACGTCGCCTCGACGAACGTGATATCAATCGTTATCGTTGTTTTTCTTTTTATCAACAACATCGTGAATACTGATTAGCGTTTATCTCGACTGTTGCCGACTATGCATCCAGAATAATTACTTCTCGCGCGGCCATTATATTTATTCGCGTTTACCGCCAAGGGCCACGATATTCTACGTGTAAAGGGCCACAGGGAACAGAGTTCACCGATCCTCCGCATAAATAATAAATCCACGCGATGCGAGGTAGATCTCGACAAGCAACACTCGAAATCTCGAGTGCACGTTCCGCGGGGCAACATTTTCATTTTTATGCTGTATGTGCGTGCTTGCACGAGAACTCGTCTTACAGAAAAGCAAGGGAAGGGAGGGACGCGTTTCACGTGTGTTGGACATCGTCTCGTTATATTGTATCTTGTATGGTCGGTTGCACGCGCGAGCAAAACCGTAGAGACAAAAGAGGGATGTAAAGGGGAAACGAAACGAGGGTACGAAACGAATGAGTCGACATCCGTTCGTCAACTATTTCTTTACTCGTATTTTACCAAGTTATAGAAGTCACGGTTTCGTAGATCAGAATGAGACAGTGCATGCTGCACGCTACTCTTTCTTTTTATCACGTGACCGTCTACTCTTGTTCCTTATCGTTTGATACCGTTGTGTGTTCCATATCTTTGTTCCAGCGATCTTTAGCGTTAGAGTCTCGATTTTCGACGTATACGTATAGGGTATGTTGTGCAAATCAGAGAATTTGATTTTTAATGTTTTGACCAAAGATACCGAGTGACGTTGAATGTAGCCGATCAAATGTAGCTAGAATACTTATTTCAAGAGCGACAATGATTTTTTTGTTGAGAACGTTTAAGAGAAATTTTTTATTATTATCTTCTTGATGGGTCTTATTCTATGTTATTATCGAATAATTCGCAAGAGTAGGCATGATGTCACAATTCGTATTCCAAGATTCCTGTTTTTTTTTTCATTTTTTTTCATAATTCTAATGAAAATTAGTAAATTAATGTTTCTAGATGCTTAAAAAATAATATAGATTTTAACGTAGGATTTTCTGCGCAATCGACGATATCTAGTCGCTTATACTGCCTTCGCGCTTCGAAATTATTTCTTTCATTTTATCTGAACGCATAATCGAAACACCCAATTGTACTTTCATATCAGACGAAGCAAAGCGTATCTGTATAGACAGACTTTTGAGCTTGTTTCTCTGCGTTCCATTGATCGAATTTATTACGTATCTATCTCCTTTGTTTTTTCTTGTCGCAAATTGCAGCTGTTCATATCACACATGTACGAGTGGTTACATGTATCGGAAACAAATGATAACAAACCTGCTGCCAATTATTCGCTTTTTTTTCAATCCATAGCTTCGTAAAAAGACTTTTAAATTCATTAATACGTACTCTAATATGTATTTGAATAATTTCTTTGATCCTTAACTACAGACGTGCATATCATCATAAATTTCTTTAATCGAGCTACCGATCAACTCCATAAATTGAAAAGTACAGACTATTGATGATATTAGAAATACCGGTTTTCCAACTTACCTGACAGTTAAGCGATATAAATCAAGTTATTCGAATTGAGTGATTTGTTTCTTGAGGATCGAACATCAGTTCGCGTATTTATGTATATACCATATGAAGCCAAGAAATTAACAAGTAGCAGAGTCGATTAATATTACTTTTAATAAGATCGATTAACAAATCGTGCGAGACTAATGCCCTGTAATAACAAATCTATATTACTATCTGTTACAGATACGTCGTAATTCCTCCTGGAGACCGATAACTGGGGTCGATTTTCCGAAAATTCGTTGGATCGAAACTCGCGAGTGCGGTGAAGGAACGAACAATACAGAGAATGCCAGGGCGGGCAGCGGAGGCGCGTGTACTCGCGAATGCTCGTCCGGCGATCGTTCGCGACAACGATCGGCACGACTCGCGATGATGGCGGAGCGCGATCGCGTAGCAGCGATATCGTCGGTGGAGTTGGCGCGACGCGGATACCTCGGTAGAAACGTTCGACACGCGACGGGATAAATGCGAGACCGAAATCTCGTGGGTGAACCAGTTGTCGCGGCGACGAAGAAGAAAAAGAAGAAAAAGAGACACCTGGAGTCGGGTCGATACAAACGGAGCCCGAGCTGGTTCCGGATAAAGGTGAGAGCAGGTGTTTTACTAAGGAGGAACGATAATAGGAGGTTGGATGTAGATCAGAAGGAGGAGGAAGAAGAAGAGGCGGAGGAGGGGTCGAGGAATTTTGGAGTGGATAGCGAGACGACAGATCTCGAGGAAAAGGAAGAAAAAACGAGAAGAAGAAGGTGTATTGGAAATATTGCAATTCAAAGGATCCACTGTAGACAAGATCGGCCTATAACCAGCTGGACTGGACGGCCTCGCGAGTTTTCGTTGTAAGGCCGGGAGTTGTGGGGGTCACCACGGGGGCGGGGGTGGGTTTGCCCCTGCTTCTTCTGGTCGTCGGTGTTCTTGGTAATCAAGCGTGCACGACGACGGCTGCACCGGTGGTTTCCGATCCGCACGTGTCCCTCGATGCTACGCCTCCTCGTCTTCTGCCTCGATCAACGGACCGTTCATCGTCGTCGTCGTCATCATCATCGATATTGTCATCATCGTCGTTCCCGTCTTCCTTTCGAAGAGCCATTTACAAGGGTCGATTTTCCAATCACCATCCGGAGAACCCAACCTACGAGAGCGCCTCGAAGGGAGAACTGGATTATCACGAGGTATCGTTGCTACCGGGCGAACGAGAAGACCCGAACGGTCTCGACGGGGATCGGTTGCTCTCTGCCTGGGAACGAACGAGAATCGATACCATCGGAAAGAAGGATCCTTCTTCCCCTGTAGTAGCAGGCGGAAGAGGAGGCGAAGAAAGTGAAGGAGGCGGAAAAGAAGGAAGAGGAGGAGGAGGTCTGGCTCACGAGAGGACCAAGTCGAGACGGCGACAGGTCGCCGCAGTGAGCCTGCTCGATGATCGAGGATCATCCTCTTTAAGCCCCGTCGAACCATACCAATTGGCTACGAGATTTTTTCGTCCTGGTAACACGGAACCATCTTCGATTCATATCGACGGAGTCGAACCAGAAATTCGTCGAGGCGGTATTATCTTTACCGCGAGCGAAACAACTGGCAGTGACTCAACGTTATCATCGTTGGCTTTCGAGGACGCTGTCGGTGATACCTTATCGAACGAAAATCGTTCGACGACCACGGGAACAACAACAACAACGACAACGACGACGACGACGACGACGACGATAACGACGACGACGACGACGACGACAATAAATAGAAAATCAATCCCAAGTCGTGTTCCCTCTCTAAAAAAAAATCATTTCTCGTCCCAAACATCAAATCCCCACGAACAACCTACAATCATTTTCACGCCAATTTTTCTAAGCCACCGGCCCAAAACTCTTCATTCATCGTCGAGAAAAATGCTCTTCCACAGCCCGAACACCGAATTACCGCGAGATCCCCACATGCATCCACCCTTAAACGTATCTAATTATTTCTATCCGATCAGGAACACTCGATCGGATCCGCTCGCTGAAAATTCGATTTTCCCTCTCTCGTCAGCTTCTCACCTGGTTCACCTGAGTCGCATTTTTCACGGGGATTAGTCGCGACGATCCGCGTCCCCCCTTTTGTCATCGCCGGGTGGCGTCTTTGCTCCTTTGCATCGGCTCCAATTTGGCGAGGATTTGTTTCGGCACTTGGGGTGTGGTAAGCCGACATGAGACCAACGCTGCCGGCGCCGCTCCTAATAACGAGGAATTATCGCTGCGATACAATGAGCCCGCGGGAAATCCTCTTTGATGTCTACCACGGAAAATAATACCGCCCTAATAGAGTGAGATTATGGGCAACGACGTCAACGACGACGACAACGACGACGACGACGACGACGACGACGACGACGAAGACGACTACGAAGACGACGACGTTAACAAGAAGAACAGCAAAAACGGCGACTACGGTAACTACGGTACTACCAGTCCCTTGGACTAACACGTCGTTTCGTTTGGTTCATCGAACTGTGCCTAGATTATCGGACGACGAAAGTGTAAATTCGGGTAAATCCGCTGGTAGACGCAACAGGAAGGCTAAAGACGAAGAAAAAGTGGTAGAGGTAGATATCTCGTCTCGTAAAGACGACAGGGATAGGTTCGCGTTCGCGGGGGACCGTAGTAGTGGTGAGGTCAAAGGTGGTGGTGGTGGTGTCGTCGAGTGGACCACAACAGTCGCCAGGCCGATGTCAGCGTGGTCGTATCCTGAAGATGAGGAGTCGGGAGCTGGAAACGTAAGGACACGCTCGAGGCCGAAAGAGGCGGCGAGCGAGGACAAGGAGGCCGAGAGTGGCGAAGAACAGGTCAAGGTCACGGTAACAGAAGCCAAAGGCTCATCGTCTACGTCGACTACGGCAAGGACCACGAACACGTCGCCGACGACCACACAGTTACCACCACCGAGTCAAGATACCTCTATGGAAGCACGTGAGTACCACGAAATCTATTCTTCTTCTTCTTCTTCTCCTTTTTCTCCTCTTTTCTTTGCGTCTCTACGCACAGGCGTTCTCTCTCGTTCCGACCACCAAAGAGAGTTTCCGACCTGTGGCCGGCTCGGCTCGTCTCTTTCTGTCGGAGGCTACACGCGAGCCGCGTGTCTCTCGCGTTGCTTCTTTTGCCGTGCCTCTCCCCATGGACGTGTTTACAGGAACCGAAGCTCGACGCAGGACCCTTGGTCAGGTTATTTTTAACTATTCTAACCGTGCGGCCACTTTCTCCTTGCCCTCTCCCTTCGCCCTCCAAGTCTTTCTACCTCGCGTTCGTCTCCGTGATGTCTCGTGCCGCTTGTGTTCGCGCGTCTCACTATGACCTCGTGTTCTACTCGTTCTGGGTCCTTTCGTTTTAGGTCTTAGGCTGTGGTTACGATGGATGCGTATTCCGGCCAATTGACGTTCTGACCTGATGAACTCAATACGGCGATGTATTAGGTTGTTTTAAAAGATTTGTTCATTTTGTAAGAAATAAGAGACGCGCAACATTTCTTCTTTTACATTGTTTCATTGAACTACGTATGATCCATTCTGTCTCAATGGAACAGTAAAATAACGTAAAATAAAAAATGTTGCGTATCCATTGTTTCCTTATGAAAGGAAAGAAACTTTTGAGACAACCATTAGATTTATTATTTTTATTATAATTATTAATTAAAATGTATAATATGTATAATATTGTATAATAATGTATAAATGTATGATACATAAATTTTGAACGAGCGTTGTACATTGCAGTCCTCGAACGTTCCATTCGTCAAAACATCAAGTTGATTCGAGTACGCATCCACTGTACCCATACGCGTGGAAAAGATCGTTGTTTGTTCGTATAGTGACTACTTTTTCGCTTTCCTTTTGACGAGTTTTGCCTTTTTAAGCTTTTCGTTCGTTTCAACCCTTTGAAGGAAGGAAGGGATGCAGGGCGGGATAAAAAGAGAGCATATCCTGTAAACACGTTTCTCTTCTCATTTTCGAGCAGCATATTATGTACTTTTGCTTTTGATCTTATTCAATGATATCGAAAAACAGTACTTGTACTACCATAATATCTATTGCTCACATATTATACGTATTATTTTTTATTACAAATATTGAAATCACGTAACTTTCGCACATTTGATAATCGACTTATAATTCAACAGTTATACGATGTATCGTAGAATTGACAGTAAATAGGAAATAACGAAGAAACAATTAGCTGAAACTGACGAGTTGTAAATATTTCTCAACCGCTACAAAATTTAAGAATTATTCGATCGTATAAATTAGTTTTGATTCATCGTCGGTATAAATTACCTAAAGTTACCTATAAACATCAATTGCTTGTTTAATCAAAAACTCCAACTCCAACTTACTGTTAGAACCTGCTAATAACAACGGTTACTCCAAACGATATTATGTAAATAATAGTTCACGTTCACCGTGTTACAATACAAACTTAACTCGAAGCGTCGTTGGCGAAAGGAAGGAAGGATTCAAGTATAAAAGCGTGCGAAGCCTACCTTGATGAAGAAGGGAGTGAAAGAAGAAGAAGAAGAGGTGGAAGAAGAAGGCAAGCTCGCCGTGAGAGACGTGCGCATCTCGTGTGTTTTTGATTACGCTTGCACGACCGTACGCCGGCTGCGTACGACGTACGGCTCGTGACTTCGCGTATGAATCAGCCAGCTATTCTTTTCGCTCACTGACCGACCGCCGACTTCGTTTCTTCTCTCGGCATGCTCGTCTCGCTCTCTTACCTTGTCGCACACATCGGCCCGCTTTCATCGTGTCCTTGTCCGTCCGAGCGAATGGGACGAGCGAACAACACGGCCGAATCCACGGCGATATCACGCCGTTTTCTTCGCCACCTCCTCTTTTTGCCCTTCTGCGTCGCCCTTCGCCACGACCAACCTTGTACCTTCCTCGTCAATCTTCCTATACGCTTCGTTCCGCGTAAACCTACCATCGGGGAAAGCGGCTCTCAGCTCGATGGATGCGAGATCCTTGCTCTAGGATCAGCCTTGAATTTCTCCCCGAGTTTTTCAGATCTTGGGATTTGGATGGTTTTTCTTGGACATATTAGGTCGGCCGAAAAGTTTCCTTCGTTTTATAAGGAAATAATGGATGCACAATATTTCCCGTTTTATATTACTTTATCGAACTACGTATGATCCATTATCAAAATAAAGATCACAACGTTCGACAGATTAGGTTTCATGTTTGTATACAGGTGCGTTGTTGTAAAAGACACTTTTCGGACAACCCAATATTATAGTTTGCATTATTGTCTTTGTAAATTACCGTTGTTTTTGGCAGATAGTTTTTAATAGGAATCTTGGGAATTATTCTACCGTAAATTATTTCTTAATAGGAGTATCGAGTACTTAGGAGATTTTCTGTAACCATTGTGTTGAGATTGTTGAATCGTGGAAGACCTACATACGCGTACGTATATTGTGCATCGAGAATTTTTATGTCATCGTTGTATCATACACATCTTCGCTCTGTATTACAGATTTCAGAGCAACCTTGACGACTTTTTCGTTGCATCCTTTTCGATAGATAACAATTCGGTATAGTAACAATTTAGAATAAACTGTAATTCTTGTAGAACGTAAAATTACAGCTTGCTATTATTGTAGGCAAAAACATGTAAATAGAGATTTCACTCCCAGAGTATTACGATATTACTTTACTTGAAGTATTTTCAACATACCTGTACATTCATAATTTTTCTATGTTTACATATTTTCGCTCTATTTGTAAATATCTAACGCTTCTTCGTTACAACTATTTGTACACATACGTACGTACGTACGTACATATCCCACTGAGCGATTAAATTCCATTGTGTACAAAATCGTCTTAATCTAAAAGAGAATGACGCGTTCTAATATACTGAGAATCTCAACCGAAGATACGCAATGACAATAAACGTATTGAGATCGTTTCGAGTCAATGAACAAACAAATCTAATCAATGATCGTGTCAACGAGACCGAGCACTCATTAACGTCGAAATTCACGAATACACACGGACCAAGTACAAAGAAAGATCCGCTTTTTGGGGAAGCGTCGCGGTGTTTTATAGGCGTCGCGTCGCCGTTGTTTGCAATAACATCGGGATATCTGTATTTGGCGAATGCCGCTTTAAAAGCGTTGATAAAGCCGCCGAACCGACCGGTGGTTTATTTTAGATTATAATGTTGCATATCGCTGTGTGTAATCTCGATAAATAGCTCGTTAATTCCGCTTGATCATAATAAGATAACCGCGCGTTGGCAACGCGCCAAAAATTTCGACATTCCCAGATTCTGCCCGGTCCCTTGTCTCTCCGGCTCTTTCTTTCTCTCTTTTTTTTTCTTTCCTTCTCTTTACTATCTTCCGACCCTGCCTCTGGTGCCTCTTCCATTTTTTTCCGCGTCCGACGATTCATTGCTTCTTCTAATTAACGCACCCTCGTACCAAAGATTCATGCTTCTTTGAAGTCAGCTGTATCGCTTTCTTTAAATTCACCGTGGTTAAAATCCACGTTCCCTCTGATTTTATAAACTTTCGCGCTACCTTCTTCCCCGTTTTTCTCGCTTTTCCAATAATATCGATAAGCAGCGTGACGAACAATGGCTGCGAATGTTCACAGGCACGTGCGTAAGAAATTTAACAATATTGGCCATCGTACGTGGAATTCGTCGTGCAAAAGCGCGGATTGATCGATTTAACGCATAAGAGTAGGATATATTTTTCTTAGATCGAGTTTCGTTAAATATCGCGCTAAATGTTATATAACAGCGTAGAAGAATTTGTGGGAAGTTTAACGGTGTGAGAATCTGTTACTGTTCGTGTCGGCTGGTTCATCGTATTTATGGAAAAGAAGAATCGTAGAATTTATAGAAGAGTTCAATGACTTGGAATATATATATAGTTTTTAATCTTGAATTTATGAGGGGATTTTAGAAATGTTAGTAACAAAAAGCAATGGCGCGGCAATAACTGACCATTTTTCTTGCTTTTTCTCTCGAGATGAATTTTTCTTTCCACAATGAACGCAATATAATGTAGGATTTATCGTGCGATACACTCGAATTCAGAGAATAATTCAGGAATGTATTTTTTAATTCAGAAATTCATGAATTTATACAAAAGAATCGGAGTCTGGTGGTTGGTTTTGGAATTGATCGGATCGGAACGTAAAATTTTGCCTTTGTTTCTTGTTCTCATGTTGATTTCCGTGTCTAATTCCGCATTCCAGGAACAGGCGGCTAGTCCAATTGTAGTTCAGCTGAATCAAGGTCAGAAGATCGCGTTGCTCGAGTTTATTGCATTAAGATAGCCGAGATCGTTGTGTCGGTCTAACAGGCCTAATTTACCGTGTGCGTGTTGTCGTAAATGAAATCTTTACGCTGATCTATCTATCCGCCGATGAATATAGATAACACTATCGTCGGTTTACCTATATAACGTTGGAAATATGCATTTTGTGATAGTGTGTTTCGTGATTAATTCGATTAACCCAATATTTTCTATCTCGCTCCATTCCTCTCTTTCGTAATAGATGAAACATATTCCTTTATATTCCGTTTACATTTAATCTTTCTCTCTTGACATCGTTTAAAGGTAAATTATTTATTTGTGACTTTCCTGTAAGATAAATAACAAATTTATACGAATATTCCATTCTCATCTAGAGATATACAAGAACGTTTTACAAATCGAGCGAACCTTACCTGTAACTCTACGATTGTCTGCTTAACGAAATTCTAAATATGTACGTGTGTATGCACTCATATGGCCACTGTACGTATGACACTGTGTTCTGAGAACAACAGAGTTCAGTATTATAGTAAGTGGCATACACTGTCGATCGTAAGTGTTAAGACACCTGCTGATACTTACGCTGATATTATTTATTAAATTCCTTGTGTATCTGTAATTTTTCGTTCACACGATACGAGTTGTCGTG